CACTTGTCAAGTGTAGTATGAAAAAGTGTTTCGCCTTATAGGTGAAAATATGAACGATTATACATACAATCACACGCTCGCGAGTCGAGAGGCGACAGAAAACTAACGATTATCCACGGGGGTACGTGACGCTGCTGCCTTACAAAGATTCAAAGATGAATCGAGAGCGATAAGATGTCGAGCTGTTATTTTTTTTTTTTTTTTTTTGGAAGGCGAGAGAGCTTCTTTGCGTTAAAGCGGCTTTTAACAATGTAACAACAAAAGTTGCATTGAGTAATGCGCGCGTGGTAGCTTCTAGTTTCAAAATCGTTGAAAATTCAGCATTTATTAATAGCACGCGAGAGCTTAACCCTGACATCCAAGTTGAGGTACCGAACCGACTCTCGATCGCATTCGCTGAATAAGGCAAAAAAAGAAAAAAAGAAATCAACGTAGTAATATTCAATAGTGCTGTTAAACGGGTTAAAAAACAAAGGACAATGAGGATGGAACTGTAACATACACACATACGCGCGGATTCTTAACGGACTTTATGACGGCGATACTTTTTGTCACGATTCGCCGCGCGCGCTTGCCCATGCTTCTAATGTATACGTGTCTCTCTACATGCGCACATCTAAGCCGTTTGTTATCTGTATTTTATGTATATCGAGAGAAGCCACAGAGGAAAACGTTTAACATACCACGCAGATATAAATCGAGCGGATTTTTTTGTTCAACCATTATATAGGGACTCGTTTGCTCGCTCGGAAAAGATATGAAAGTTGAAGCTTTTTTTTCGCTATCCGTGGAGACCTACAAGCGGAGGATGTTTTCATGCACTTACGGTATTGTGGAAGGAAAAAAGCGCGGCGCGGGCACTTTTATCTTCTAGGCACGACTTAATTGTTATAAAGCTGTGCGAGCTGACTCGATCTCGACGTATTTTTTAATAATATAATAAAATATCAACACTGGAACGACTGATTTTGCTCTGTGCTCGCAGCGCACATACGACGGCATTTCGCAATGATATACCGAGTATCCATTTGCGACTCGACTAATCGGCCGGGCACGAGTTTTCTCGAAAATTGCGCCCTCGTTAGCGCGAAAAACATTTGCATTCCGATCGCAAGGCATCTGCACAAGATATATTACAATAAAAACGATTTAACGAGAGCGACGAAAATCGCTCAATCTTCTCGTTTCGCGCCTTGTAAATGTATACAATGGTCGATTACTTCGTCACGTCAACGAACATTCGATCGTCGCGCACCCTCGATACATTGAAATATCATTGACGTGGTTGAGCGAGCGTTTATGGATATATTAATAGTGTCGCGATATTAAGTCAGTATATTGCTTCGATTATTGTCAGCTCAATTTTTTAGGTCTTCACGTTCAATGAGATATTCCAATTATTATCAAATTCAATAATTCAATATTAATCTGAAAGTCCTAACTTTCGCGACTTACCATAGAGACCTTGCGAACCAATAATGGTGTAAAGCTAGAGTCATAGTAACTTCATATTAGAACAGGTCGACTGTATTTTGATTTGATCGTTTTCATTGGCGTTAAAAAAAATTGTACATAGCCACTAGGTCGACTGTATAGTTTGCACAAAGACATGTGACATCTAACGGTCATTATTGGCATAACCTACAACAATAACTACAATATTTTTTCAAATAGTGCCGAAATTGGATTAATTTGATTATTATATCGAGACGTCGTACGGCTCTAACAAATGTCAACATAGTGACTTTCTCAATTTTTACCCAGTTCCAATCGTGCGTCCTCACTGTTTTAAAATTATAATTGGTGATAATATGCATCATAATCATTTCGACAATTTTATCTCCTACAATATTGCCTAAGCTTACAAAAAATGGACTATCCATTTGATTACTTAACCCGTTTCGGGCCAAACGGACGAAATTTTAGTTATTTTTTCACTCGCTGTAAACTCTGTGAAAAAATTATGTGAGAAATGACAAAATAGTCATAACCGACGTAAAATTTTATGAACTTTTCGAATCTGGCGTCAGAATTGTAAAAAAAGTTGATGTGTAAAAGTTATGAACAATTAAACAATAAAAAACACGATTTTTTTGAAAAAAAATTTGATTTGATCCGAATTTTCGAGTCGAAACAGACTTGCTCTATAGGTCTAACACGTTTTTTTGCGTCCATGGGGTGTAGACTTAAAAGTCCAATAGTAACGATATCGAAATTTAACATGGCGGACACGAAAATGGCGCTTCGTAGAAAAAAACCGTATATGAATGTAGTCAATTTTTTTATATGTCAACCAAGCGCCTAGGAACAAAACGTTATAGAGAAAATGTTGAATTTCTATATCGTAACTATTGGACTTTTAAGTCTACACCCCATGGACGCTAAAAAACGTGTTAGACCTATAGAGCAAGTCTGTTTCGACTCGAAAATTCGGATCAAATCAAATTTTTTTTCAAAAAAATCGTGTTTTTTATTGTTTAATTGTTCATAACTTTTACACATCAACTTTTTTTACAATTCTGACGCCAGATTCGAAAAGTTCATAAAATTTTACGTCGGTTATGACTATTCTGTCATTTCTCACATAATTTTTTCACAGAGTTTACAGCGAATGGAAAAATAACTGAAATTTCGTCCGTTTGGCCCGAAACGGGTTAACTTAAATTTTTCAAGTTTGATGTCAAACGTTTGTTTTGATTTTCCTTCAGAAGTTAAAGCTTAAGCTAATCGGCTGTCGAATTAATTATTCGTTACAGGGCTGAAAATTACCTTCTACATTAATTATCATCTACATAAGATAATTTAACTTTGTATAAAAAAATTGACTCTATTGTTTGAGGCAAACGATTATGACATTTTATGGTCGTAGCTAGAAAAACGTATAATGCAAATTACAAGTTCTGGAAATCGTACCAATATCTAGTTCCATTAGAATAAGATGATGGTAAACATTGAATGATAGAAACCTGACGAATTTAAATTCTGCTTTATATATGTCGTGTATCGAGATCGCTGTTTATAGCGTACGTGAATCGTGATTGACGAATTGGTCGAAAAAATGTCTTTGCTTCGAAATGGTAAATATTTATGAGCGGAGACCAAAAAAAGACGATGACTCCAAACCGACGTGTTTGTGGGGGGTAACGTACTCAGATCCACGACATCCATTGTTGTACGTATCGTACATACATATGCGCGTATATCCCACTGCGTTCGACAATCGTCGCCAGTGAAATAGTTTTACTTTATAAATATATATAACTCATCGCTCGAAATGCATCAATGCCGATCGTCGAGAGGAGAAATGCGCTCGAGACGTCCCTAACCGTGCACACAGACGGAAACTCGATCTCATGAAAAACAATGTGTCTCGCTGTATATCTTGTGCGCTGTATGGGTTATTTTTTTAGTGCGCGGTAAAATAATTTGACTTTGGGACCGCGCACCAGTATCGAAATGAATTTTGACGTGAGCGCCACATGAATCAAATGCGCTATTATTGATGACAGATGACATTTAGGATGTATAGTACTGCATACCCGTACAAGCTCGTTCGAGATTTTGCTCGATCGCGTGGAGATCATTCGGTCGAAAAAAAAGAGAGAGATGAAAGAGCCGGGTAGAATCATCGTGCGGCGGCGAGGAAGCGCCTGAGTGCAAATCGAATTATCTTCTCGATGAGTAATTTGCGAATCGTGCCCTAATGAAACAATAAAATATGTTCGAAGTCGCGACGACGCTCGATCAATCTTGAAAGTATAAGAAGACGCGATCAAAATATGTTCACAGTCATTCTGCGCTAAAAGTAAACAAGTAGATTCGCGAGCAATCGAAGTTTTTTTTTCAATAATCTTCTTGTATCCAAGCACCGAATTCTCCACCGTCATTATGTGGTAATTATCGATTAGAGCCGCGCTCTTCGATCGACTCAACAGTCGGCATCGGTATATTAGATTAGAATGTGCAAGGATGGTCATTGCGTCGCATTTTATGTATGCACGTATAATACGTCGGTCGGTCGATTTTTGCGCGCGAGATTTCACCGCGAGAGAGCTCGAGAGCTCGAGAGATGAAATTCCCGCCATGTGTACATGCCGTACAGGCCTACACTCGTCTTCGCCGCATGAGTCCCATCACTCCAAAGTCTCCAGACCACAGCTTATATACATGTACGTGCATCGGAACGAGCTAGAAATGCTTTGGCAGGAGTTAAGAGAGAAGAAGAAAGTGCCGGTTATAAACGTTGCGCAGCAGCAGTATTAGTAGTAGTAGTAGTAGTAGTAGTAGTAGTAGCAATCGTTGTGGTTGTAGTAGGGCAGAGGGCCATATGCCGCGCGCGCGAGGCAAGGATCCCCAGTCGCGCATCCAAGGATGCATACGTTTCAAGAAAGAGAGAGAGATATATACGTAGCTCGCAACCTCCTACCTCCTTCTCGTCCTCCTCCTCGAGCAGCACCTTCTGCTGTACGAAATCTCGCGTTCATACGTGTGTGCATGTGTAGACGAGAGCGAGAGAGAGACGAGCCTCCGTACTCTGAGTATGCACCCACACTCACACTTTCATATATAGCGTAGTGCACAGTGTGGAGGAGTAGAGGAGGTAAAGAAGGGGTCATCATCTGGTCGCTCGCGCTCTCGCGTTCACCTCTCGCCTGTGCTCTCCTCTACGGCGTACGACGGCTGCGCGTATGGGGCATGCGCTCGGGTTGCTGCCGCTGCTCCTGGCTTCCTTGTGCTAAACGCGCGCAGCAGCAGCGCTGCTATATACTCGCAAAGTGCAATCGCGTAGCATCTCTCTCTCTCTCTCTCTCTCTAGCTATGCTGCTGCTGCTGCTGCTGCTACATGCTGCTGCGCCGCGAGTGCAAAATAGGACCGGCTGACTAGTCAGTACTGTGCCGCGACTCTAGCGCGTCGCAAGTCGCTCTCTCTCTCTCTCTCTCTCGATCAACATCAACAACAACACAGCCGCTACTGCTGCTACTTCTATTATACACGCGACGATCGCTGTATATGCTCCGTACGTGTTTTGGCGCGCAGTGTGCTTTTTGGAACTGGCGCGCGCGAGAAAAGCTCCGCTGCTGCCGATGCTCCGCGATACACAGTCGCAGTAGTTGGGCACGTGTTTGATTGTTTTGAGAAACTAAAGGTTTTTTGGCCAATCCGAGGATTATTGAAGTCGTGCGAGGACTTCGTTACACGCAAGGGGGCGTGAGTAGAAAATTTGCTGCTGCGTGATCGTGATCGTGTCGTTGATTTGTCCACTAAAACTGTGAACGAGCATTTCGCAAGGAACAAGTGTGACGTTATTTATCCTTTATTTTTTTTTTTAATCGATATAATACTCTTTGCGGTTTGGATGATATTTGAGGAGCGGGGAGGTATCGTGGCGTGCGAGTGACACAGGGGGTGGTACACAGCAACATCGACTACCGGCCAGTTCTAAGCGTGCCGCAGTAAGCTGTTATCCTCGTGGTGAGTACACGCTATCCCAATGTATATCACTAATTTTATAATTGCAATTTATCGCTTTTTCGCGGGACTCGTGAGTCTATAATGGTCGAATGAAATATTACGTCGATTTAGCGAATAAGATCGTGAAAAAGAAAAGGTGCACATTCCCATCGGTGATTTTATCTCTCCTCGAAAGCTTAATCAGGAGCGTTGACGAATGAGCGCGAGCGCGCGCGAAAGCGACAGAAGTAAAAGCGCGCAGCGTGAAGCCATATTATACACCTTTCAATTCGATACCAATTGCTGCAACGCGTGCCGTGCGCTTTCGCGCGCGCCAAGCTTTTAACGGGCTTGCAGATTTGTCATCCGTACACAATACGAGCCTATACGAAATTTGGAAAAAAGTTTAAGGCTACACTCATTTTTCCCTTCGAGATCGTTAATTTCGTCGATCGTTGAACGTTCCCAGCTACGCTCGTCGTAAAAGTGCGATAATAAAAGTATATCTTTCCGCGAGGAAATTTATTACTCGATAATTTATTTCACGTCGTTAAGTTCGATAATAAAAATTGAACAAATTATTCAGTGTCTGCTCGAGCCCGCGTTACATTAACATTACATACACGCGTCGACGCGCAGAGCTACCGTTGGCATTGTGCACCGCAGTTGCCCGTCTCAAAGCAGCCACAGCTAGGTATAAGACAGGTGTAAAAGTGCGTCATAATACCTTCGGCAGTCGTACACACGAAGCACGCGTACAGTTGCGCGAGCGCTACTATATAAGAATTCGCGCGCCAGAACTAGGGTCCCGAATCCCATATAACACGCGCGGGTATACACACGTACCCATACGCACACACACCACAGACGTTATAATGACGCTATATAATTAGGATACTTCTTCTCTCTTTTTTTTTTTTATAATTAGAGGGGCGTGAGAAAGCTACGCGCTGCGGAGAGCGAATGCACACGACGACGACGACGATCGTGCGAGTACCTCGAGGAATTACGCATCGGCGTAATCTCCTCTACGCGTGTACGTAGATGTATAAAAGTGCAAGTGATTGCAATGAGAAGATCCACGCTCGCGATCTGCATGTGTACGATTCTGTGTGTTTGAGTGTGTATGCACTTTTCGAAGTCGCGATGTTCCTTTTTTTCGTGTTTCATATTATAATATATACCTAGAGGAGCGAAGGTCGTCGCGTCGTTGGCCGACAAAATTTTTTCGTCGCTGCTACACGTACTACTATACGCGTACGCACGCCTTTATGGGAAAATTTCGAGACCGTATATTGTTACAGCACGATGATTTTTGTTTTCGTTGGTAATAGCGGCTCAGGAGTAGCAAAGATTCAGGTGCGCGCGTGTAGAGTAGATCGCACTGACTGATTTGCCATCTCTTTTAACTCTTTTTTTTTTCTTCTATTTTCACAGAAAAGTTGAGAAAATTCGTCAAGCCCGCACGATGAATTATTTCGATGCGAGCATATAAATACGGATTTTTAATCAAATTGTCGTAATCGTATAAGATTTTCCATTTTTGGTCGATCGAGTAATAGAGTTTTCATAATCCGCGTGTATGCAGCTACTAATAAAAATTCAATTATACTTATATCTAAGCTCTTTTCAATTTCATTTCGGAACGAACGAACCGACAGTAGTATAATTCCATCGTTCGCCAGACTAAATTTATATTATACCGAGATTTTCCCGGCACCGAGAGATTTTTCATTTTATTCCGTCATTCATCTGGGTGACTGTAATTTAGAAACAAACTTCCTTGCAGCGTCCCAACGTGCGTATAAGTAATGCACGACTTGGAGATTTCGCACTGTTGATCGTTCATTTTTCATTCCTCGTTCAATCCTTCTTAATTATGAATCATTGTTGTACCGTGCGCGAGAAATGAAAAGCGAGAGATGAAAAAAAAAATTCGGATGAAATGCGCGAGTGACCGAGCACAGTTGTAAAATTCGTACCTATTATTCATCAATTCTTTGCACGCTTGCATAGAAAATGCATCGATTTTCAAATCCTCGGATGTTATACGAAAGCGACGAGGTGCATAGAGATGCGAGCGCTTGACTTGTGCATCGTCTAAAGAATATATACACGGCTTTAGAATATATCCTGCGCAATGACAATGTTTGCGTTGAGTACCTTCGCTTGAATTATCGACTTTCTCCCTCTCTATCTATCTCTCTCGTCGATATAATAGATGCTTGATATCATCCGCGTGTAAGCGCAATCCATTCGATGTGTATATTCATTAACTTGATTGAATTTCAGCTCTTCTAATGTATATTTTGTGTTGTATTCGTTAAAGCTAATGAAATTGCGCGTATATATATATAACTACTGTACGACGGGGGCCCTGCAGTACGAAAATGTTCCCATCTCTGTGCACGAGCTCGATTGAACTAGATTAAATTTGAATTTTTAACGAATGTATAAAAATAAAAAGCACACATGGACGGGGGTGGGCACTGCGTACTTGCGCTTTTTTTAAACATCCAAACTGTTTAAATGAAATTGTAACAAAAACAATCAAAGGTTCGCGCGCTAATGGCTGAGTCGGGGTGAATTCTTTTTACCCCCGTTCTCTTTTTTTTTCTTTCAATTATATAACACACTGCGCACACTGGGTCAGTGTATAAAAATATTGCACTTAATTGCTCTAGTTACATTAATACCCTCTGCACTGCAGGGTCGAAACGTGAGAGGTTTTTTATTTCGCTTATTTTTTTTTTTTGTAATTCACAGTGAAGAGGTGCACAATAAAATAACAAAATATATTTTTTTTTATTAAAAATTCTACATTCTACAAATGTACAAAAAAAAAATAATAATAATAAAATAAATTCGTTTGCTTATGCCATTAAACCGGGGATTTTTCCAAAAATTAAACAATCACGAGTCTGCTATCATGCGCAGTCGAAAAAATATAAGCGCCATGATGCAGCGCTGAATAACGCAAAAGAAGTAAATCTATTGCAAAATCATTGAAATATAATAATTATGCAAAGACACATGTATGAGCTCGGCGGCGCACCATGAGTACGTAAAGTCACGTCCGTCGAAGTAGCTATATAGCGATCTCTTATACACACACGCACACGTGCACGCATATATAGGCGTGAACAACAACGTCTGAGCCATACTACACCATCACGTCCCGAATTTCTCAAGGGGTATAGCTCATTCACACGCGATATCTATTTTGCCATTATCAAATTATGTGCGTGCACTTCGCGATGAGAAAAAAAAAATAAGAACCACAAAAGAGATAAAAAGAGAGAGACAGAGAAATAACGAAGAATATAGATGGTATTTTGATAGGATAAAATTGGGCACATCGTGCGCGATAGAGAGAGATACGTGTGGTGTGCATACATACATGTATTATTGTTGTTGACTTTCTTGCATTGTATAATCTACCATGTAATATAATATTCCGTCTACGATTCGCGCGTGCATACGAATTAATCAACGTATCCGAGCGTGGGGGTTGTGGACAATCAATCGGTAGAGAAAATTGGACTCCCTCGCACGCGGAGAGACTCGCGTTGTTTGCACAAACACTTATCGCTCGTGTATATGTGTATGCCATCGAGGATCGAGTCACCTGTGTCTTATATGCAGTGCAAAATCAAGTATATCCAAGTAAAATTTGATCCATCGAGGGATATATAGTTTTTTTCCCGACGTGCACTCGAAGTACATAATAACGACGATCTTTACGCTCGATCAATTGTTTCAAATAAAAATAAATTTAATTGCAGGCATGCGCTCATGTGCAGGCGCGCGAGTGTTTTTCCTCGTAACAATGGCGCCTTTTTTGCGCGCAGGTAAATCGCATCGTGAGCAAGCGCTGCAGCGGGTACTGTAATGTACGCAGGCGGCACACACAGTCGATTTCATTGCGATACGCGCGCGGCTCTACGGTTTCTTTGAGATATTTTGAGCTGGGGCCTTAAACTGCAAAAATCTCATATTTCTCGCGCGGTGATTTTTCCGTAAAATTTGTCGAGACCTCATCACGTGTTCGGCGTATTTATATAAGAAGATGAGTCGATTTTCACGTACTTAGAAACAATGTATAAACGAGCGTCAAAATCAATCAGTATCAAATGTTGGCATACCAATAGAATTGAGCCGAGAATCTGCGCTTACTGGCGCTCGTATACGTTGCTGTATGTATACTGGAGACGTTCTTTGATGCTGTATACGTATACGCGAATTTGAGAGACAGCACAATAAGATGCGCTTTTCGCACGCGCTCAATTTTATAATCGCGCAAAAGACGAGTATATGCAGTTGTATGCAAGTACGTGCGCCTCTAGTGTGTGTTCGTTATACGTACACACTGCATGCCAAGAATATCGATGGAAATACCGTGTCAAATTCCAATTGATTTTATGAAAAAATAAAAATAAAATGACATGAAAAAAAAGAGTAGAGCCTTACCTGTACTGCGATACTCTCTGATATACGCGTAATACGTCGTCTTGACGTTTCTCTTCTCTCGCTATCGCGCGCGTACACGAAAAAATAGTTCAACTCGAAAAATGCCATAAAGATTCGCTTAGGAGATGGCTCTCCTAGAGCTCGAGCTATATGGCTCTTGTTCATAGTACAAAGATTTTATTAAACGTTAGAAATTTCAGCTCTGCTCGGCTTCGTCCGGAGACTGTGGAAAAAGGGGGAAAGGGGGGGGGGAGTCGGCGCTCTTAGATAATGGCTCGAGAGTCGTAAAGAGTACCTCTTTAGAATTTACGTTGGCAAGCTTATGCTGCTGCTCTTCTTCTTGCTGCTGCTGCTGGTGATGCGCCTTTTTGAATAAGAATTTATATTGATTAACTTCCAACCTTTCTTTTCTTTTTCTCTTTCTTTTTTTTTTTCATTTTTTACTATCGTAAAATTCATTCGTCCTTATGATTACATTCTTTTCGTGAATAAATTCAATTGAAGGTAAATACCATACCACACGCTCGTTGCGTCGGCTTCGCACTGAATTT